GGCTTTGACAATGGGAGTATCTTTGTGCTTAATAAAAGTTCCTAGTACCAAAGCTGTGATTAGGGAAAAGAGCTAGGAAACTGAGGCTAAACTGATCCCTAAAGGTTCCTCATAAAAAAGGAAGTTTCTAGATTTGGGGATGCAGCCATCTCTGTAATTGTTTGGATATTGATCTTCTGGGCATTTGAAGCAGTCAACCATATCTGAAAAAATAGAAAAAGGTTGAATTTCAGTGTCAATCCATGTTTAGTTTGGAGAAGGATTCCTTTGCCTGAAACACATATGTTTCAGTGGGTGGCCATATGAAAATGAGTTTTAATAGCCTCTTTTTTAATCTTATGGCTATCATCATTTAGCTACTGTGTATATTCTGGTTGTGTTTAAATAACTCCCATGAAAATTTTATATTTTCCTCCATGTGAAAATCAGGAAAAATTATAACCCACCCTCCCCTTTATTTGGCAGAATTTGGAGGCTTAGTATAGGGATGGGGAAAAAATTCATTTCAGTTCATATTTAAAGGTGAATGTCATGATCGCTTTTGAATTCTCTGATTAATCTCAGGGAGCATATCTTTACATTCCATAGTTCTGGGCTGATGTCAGAAAACACCCATTTTCCAGGCACCACCCTGTGATATTCTTTAGACCCAGTTGACCGCATGAGTAAAATTTCATGTCAGCATGACTTGTTGACCAAGTGTTTACATGCACATTATGATGATTTAACACAAGGCACAAAATCCAAATTAGGTTTGGGGGATTGGAGGGGGTGGGGTGGAGAGAGTTTTCTACTTCACCTACCATTCTCTTCCGAAATCCTCCCTTCGGGACATGGAACACAGTCATAACAGCAAAAAAGATTCCCTTCCTTTTCTTTCTTCTGGTGGCCAGGATGGCAATGTTCACTACACAAAGAAAGAGGCTGCACCTATTGACAGACAGGAAGGAGATTTGTGGTGATAGAAATGTTCTTTCACATTTTGTCTATTTATCTATCCATCTGTGCTATGATTCACACCATAGTAGCTGAGGAAGGCGGAAACTGAAACATTTAATATTTAAGAATAAATATTTGTATTGTTATTCACTGTAATAAATATATACATATACAGATGTAGATACATGTACCATATTTTCCCATGTATAACACGCCCTCCTGTATAAAACACCCCCTATTTGGAGGGGACAAAAATTTAAGAAAATGGGGGGAGATGGCCCAGAGTTGTTGTGCTATTTTCAGGGGGAAATGACAAAAACCACTAACCCAAAGGACAAACACTGCCGATCTCTCGCGTCGCCAAGCCAAATTGCGTCTGCACGGTATATACTTTTCTTTTTCAACTACTGATCTGCAACTGCTTGATCTGCAGATCAAGAAGATGGTGTCTCAATAATTACCATATTCCAAAGAAACAGAAAGTGCCTACTTGTACACATTCAGAATATAGTACATGGATTCTAGCAGATTTCTATGGTACTTATGCAAGACATGCTTAGACTTGCATATATATCTTTCAGAATGGGGTGAAAAGTATTCAGCACTTGCAGCTACTTTTAGAGCACCTGGACAGCCTTCAGAACCACAGATTAGCACCTTAGAAGTTTTCAGGGAAGTTTTTAATATTTAACACTGTACTGTTTTTAACACTTGATTGGGAGCCGCCCAGAGTGGCTGGGGAAACTCAGCCAGATGGGCGGGGTATAAATAAATTATTATTATTATTATTATTATTATTATTATTAGAGTAGTCTTCAACTTTTTCAGATCCAATGCCCACCTTTAACCCAAACATGCTCCTGAAGATTCATTTCCTAATATTCATCAAATTTTTGTATGGTAGTAGTGCTGCCATTGTGACCTACATAAGATTAGACAATGACTCAATAGTGGAACTGACCCATCGGTAGAAAACCAATGATCTAGATAAGAGAACACTGCCCAAGAACACACCAAAATCCCCACCTGGTTAAAACCTCTGTGCCACGTAATTATATCTTCGTTAAGAAAGAATCCATTTTCTCCAAGAGCATTGAGATCCTCCACTCTTCCAACTTTGACCCTCTGAAAAGATGTGTTTGGGAATGTGATCATATTCATTATGTCAAACCCACCTCTCACTTCATTGTTTCCATTAGTTTCCACTCAGCTTCATTCCAGCTGAGTTGTTGAATGAAGTGCTCTGAAGTAACAGGTGGAGCTAATGGAAAGAAGGAAGGCTCTTAGAAGTGTAGTCATATTGCAGTAATAAATATTGTGCAGCATGAAGCAATAGGAAGCATGAAAACTGACTCCTTTTGGGATGAAATATTGTCCAGACCTATAAAGATTTACAGTGGTACCTCGGGTTAAGTACTTAATTCGTTCCAGAGGTCCGTACTTAACCTGAAACTGTTCTTAACCTGTAGCACCACTTTAGCTAATGGGGTCTCCCCTGCTGCTGCGCCGCCAGAGCATGATTTCTGTTCTCATCCTGAAGCAAAGTTCTTAAGCTGAAGCAATATTTCTGGGTTAACAGAGTCTGTAACCTGAAGCATATGTAACCTGAAGCGTATGTAACCAGAGGTACCACTGTACTTGCAGAATTGTCTTCAAAAGAGAACAAAAACATCAAAGATTTATCCAAATAATTGTGTTGTAATCCAGTATTATTGTTGTTGCCTTTATTGTTAATATCATCGTCACCATCTTAACACTAAATAAGCTGTTAATTTATAGAGACATTACCTGCCAGGGATGAAGATCCTGAAGATCAAATTTTCTGCTACCTACCATTCCTCTGTGCTTAGATCTACTTGAGTAAATGGCATGCAAAGCATGAGCAATGGCATAGACAGCATTGTAGATATTATAGCTGTGGCCAGTCATGTCCATTTCAAACAGAGGCCTAGGAAGACTATCTAGCCTCTCATCTCCACTACATGTCCCATCAGCCTGCACTGTCACCTTCGGATTTGGAAATGAACAGTCAAATGCTTGCTCCCAGAAATCCTTGAAAAAACCATCTCCTTTGTTCCAGCCAGGTTTTATGTTCTGAATAAATTTCTCAAATTGTGGAAGCTCTTTTGAGTGAATGGTGAAGGAAATGGCACCTTGGAACAGCTGAAAATCCAAGGGTCGCTGAAAGGTTGTTGTTATGAAATCAATCTGAGATGTCAAAATCCACACCTTTCTAACTGATGACTTCTCTATATTTCCAGGGTACTGTAGTGCTATAAAAGCTCTAAGCCATATCATTGTCAAAGACTGTCCATTGATGATGCATGTATTGGTTCCATCATCTGTGAAAAATGCACGCATACTTGAGTATAGATCAACAATTTCATCCACTTCATTCCACTTGTTTTGGGCTGGGAGTCTTTGAGTGAAGGCTGAACAGATTCCATGCTGGGAAAACAATAGTTCTAACGTCTGCAAGAAATGTTCTCCACTGTCATCATCTGCAGCAAAGAGTCCAACCCATGACCATCCAAAGTGCTTAAGTAAGTTGATAATTCCCATATACTGGTGAGCTTCATTTGGAACCATGCGATACAATGATTGCAACTGTGTCATCTGTCTGCCCTCTAGGGCTAACGAGCCATAAGTGATCTATAAGGAAATGTACACATTTCTTAGATAAAAGCTAGGAGCCACCCGGGCTTCCGGGTTGGCGCCATCGCCGAATGGCGGACTCCCTCCGAGCTCCGGAGGGAGTCTGCTCGGCAGGGGCTGGGTCCTACCGCGCCGGCGACGCGGGGACCCTTAAAAACCACGGGCACGGAGTCCGTGGACATGGGTGACTCGGCTTGCACCATTAGCGCCCTCCCGACTCGTGAAGGAGCCTTTTAAAGGCTTCGGATCGGGTGCCGGGGAGCGGCGTGGTGCTTTGAGTCTTCTGCTTTCCATGCCGAGCGCAGCCTCATGCCATTCGACGGAGAGCGCTGACTTCTTCCATTGAAAATTTGGACTATTCTCAACAACCCGTGAGTAAGTGGGAAACCGGGTTCAAAATTTCTGGATTTGGCACGAGCGGGGCGATTTAAAAGGAAGTCAATCCCCCCCCCCTACTGTAAGCATTCCAAAACAAGGACTGGGTAACCAAGGTCCAAAGGGAAGTATATTCTTGATAAAAACCATTAATTTCACGATGGGAAATTATAAGAACTGTGCTGGAGGAGAAGAGTGGAGGGTGAGAAGAAAATGCAACCCCCCTGGGAACCGGGGCGATTCGTGGAGCCTGGTGAAGAGAGACGGAGACTTTGACAGCTGTCAAAGTGGCTGTCAAAGTTGGAGAATATAAAGAGGACTTTGTTATGAGGACTTTGCCGGTTAATTTTGCTACAATTTGCTACAATATGGATATAAATTGTTGGAAAATAAGCAACAATTTGACTTTTGGATTAGAGGATGCAAAGTTATTACAATCCCCCTAGAGGTGTTTCTGGATATTACAAGAACGGTCGTAAGTGGAAAAATACTCTGGGATTCGCACAGGACTTGTTATCTTTTGGGAAAGCTGCAAAACTGAAATAGTATTTTGTCTACAGAGGTATTTACATTAAAGGAGACAATAGAATTTTCTATTGAAGAAAGGAAGGGACTGGACGTAAGTTTTTGTTCCTGAATAACAAACCTCTGCAGAGATATCAGATTTCTGAATTAGAAAGTTTTAGCAGCTGAACAGGACAAGAAACCTGAGAAAGTGAGGAAAAGAAGAACAAAGGACTGATTACGTACACGGAAAGAACAACGGGAGGAGTGGTAAAGATCAAGGAAATTAAAGGCCTTTGTTAGATTGGACACTTGAAGTTACATATTATTAATAAATTAAAAGAAAACCGGCAAGATGGAATCGGGGAGAAATTTGGTCATGAATTGAGACTTCCAAGCTGATAATGCACAGACTGATGGATATGGGGAATTCAAACCGGGGAAGGGGGGGGGGGGAGATTTGAAATCCAAAGGCTGTGTAACCATCTTTTGAATTTTTCTATATCTTTTATTTTTTATTTTTTTTACATAACTTACGCATGTCATTTTATTTTGATTGGACGTGTTTAAAAAAAGGGAATTCGTGGAAGGAACTGGGGTGGATCTTGGGGAAAATCTTTTTCTTTTCTTGTTAATGATGTGGGACGGTGGTAAGATTTGTACAATTCAATTTGGATAGTGGGTTAAACAAATTAAGCTTCAAATTGGGAGTGAGAGCTTGTAGAACTAAATTAAGGAAAGGGGAATACAGTTGGGGGGGGTGGGGGGAGTCCCAGAAAGTAGGCAATGAAAGTAAGGTTTTTAAATATCTTTTTTTCTTTTTCTTTCTTTCTTTGTATTTTTATATTTTTGGAAACTTTAATAAATATGATTTAAAAAAAAAAAAAAAAAGCTAGGAGCCACCCATGTGTGGTGAAACAAATATAAAATGAAAGACTTTGTAGCTTTGTCAAGAACTCTTTGGGGTGAATTTTCTCAAGTCACTGGCATGCAGTGCAATTTTTGGTTGTTTCCTTTTCAGTAATATCCCGTTTAACTTACTCCCAGAATAATGAATAATGTTAAGGGTTGTATACAACTAAGTTTATTCAGAGTAGACCCATTAAAATTAATGGAACTGATTCAGTCATGAATATTAACTTTAGTGGGTCTACTCTGAGTAGGACTATTATTAGAAGCATCACAAAATTTAGAAACTTATACCTACTCCTGGAACAATGGATTAAATTAACATCATAGTAAGTTATGACTTTTGACTAGACTAAATTATAACATTCTTTTATGCAAAACACTTCATTTTAATGAAAGATATAAACCGATTATTTATTAAATGCTGCTTGCATAAAATAATTTGGGAAGGGGGAAGAATGAAATACTCGCAGACTACAACATTTAGTTTTTAGGGTCTGGAAGCTAACGAATACAGTTAAAATGAACAACACAGCAAGGATAAAGGAAGGTAGATAACGTATTTATTTATTTATTGAATAACGGATTGTATTTGTTTTGCATTTATGAGATCCTCCAAAGAATTTCATTATACTTCTTTCGGCAGCTGGAAAACTTTGAGATGCCAGATGCATTGATTGACTGATAACTTGAAATAATAGTGATAGTAATAATAATAGCAATAATTTGTACAAGAAATACCCATTTGTATATATTATTAGGGGTATTATGAATTATTTGCATATATTTAGGGCAGTTCATGAATGCCTAATCTATGAATATTTATGAATACTGTAGGCTCGGTTTTGCTTTTGCTTTTCTTTGCATTACTTATATCATAAAGTAACATACAAATTAAAAACAACAATAACCACTTCTTCTAAGAGAAGGGTGCATTTGGTGAATGTCATCACACCCTCATGTGATTATCCTACCTGAGGAATCTTGTAGAGACCTATAATTCCTGTCATAAGAAAAGAGGTATCCGAATCATATCCCCCAATGACAGCTATGAGGTTTTTCTGGGTGTCACATTTATAGTTGGGGACAAATTTGTGTGATTTGAAGAGCAGGTCCAGAGTGGTACGGTAGGTCATCCTTCGATTGGAATAGCTGTCATGGATGTGGAATCCTAGAGTGACATTTGTCAAGATGCTGGGATTCCTGTTGATCTCATAGACGCTGTATGCCAAGGCTAGGATGTGCTGGTAGAACTTGGTCAACAAACTGTCAATAAAGATAAATCAGTGGATTTCTTATTCATTGATTAATTTCAATAGTTTATATACAACATAAATGTGTATTTTCTAAGCCATGAACAATGAGATTATAAAAGTTATATGAAAGGGATCAAATCAGTTAACACTACAAAAAAAGGAAAGAAAGTAACCCCAAACACCTGTTGTTGAAAGAACAAGAACACTAGAAGTTCAAAAGGGAAGTTGCCAATCTAATATTAGCTGGAGGGGTTCCCCAGAATTGGGCCCACAACAGGGCTCCAGGTAGCTATGAGCCATGTGTCCAAGCCACCACCAATAGTGACTTTGCTCTCCTCTCTCAAATAATATTGGAACCTGGAAACCAAGACTGAAGTTTGGAGCAAATACTCTTTGGTGAGAGAACTCATGCAGATATTTTAGATCACAAAACATGCAGCGAAAAAGAAAAGTAAAGAAAGCATTGGAATATGGGCTTCAAAACCTTTAAAATGTGCCCTTCCTGAAAGGTCCCCTTTTAGACACCTTTTCCAAGTTAAAGGGCGTGGAGATAGACCATTTGTTTGGTCAGTTATAAAACGGTTTTTCTTACAAAACTCTTCAAAGTTCAGACTCATGCAATTTTTATACAGCAGTCATAAAAGAAGCAGAAGCAGTTAAAAACATTGCTTAGTTATAAAAGGTAAAGGTTTCTAAATTATCAGTACAAAAAAGTACTGTTGGTTTTAAAGGAGGATTTCCTTTTAAAATACAACAACAGTAATAACTGTATGTTTATGAATCTTGAAAGACTCTTTCTGTTTACAGTGATAAGACTGTAACTCTTAAGTTCCCCACCCCCTCTCAATTCTTCATGTTTTGTGTTTCTACGGTTGTGATGGAAACAGTAGGTAAGTGGCACAGCATCTACCTTGCATGCAGAAACTCCCAAGATCAGTCCTTTTTTTTATTATTCAGGTAGGTCTTCCAAAAGCTCCTGCCTGAAGCCCAGTCAGTATAGACGATAGATGGTCCAATGGTCTCAGCATCCTATGCCCATTTTGAATTGTGGCACACACATCCAGCCCACCATCTGCACCAACATCAGTGCACTGCGTAAATCATACATGGTTACATGAAAACTTGGTGTACTTTATTTTTAAAAATGGTGGTGATGATGAAAGGGTGAGTTCCAACCAAGTTGTACTCAGAGTGATTTATCCAGTGTTTGTCCTACTCAGACTTGACCCATTGAAACAACTACACCAAAGATGCCTGAGGAAGCTTAGCAGTCATAGGGTAACAAAAGAAGTTTTTTTGTGGACCAGGAATTGATTAAGATACAGGAAGCAGAGTGTAAGATTGAGCCAACAGTTCTGATGGGTGTGGGGAGGATGTAGAAAGTGGAGTCCTCTAAGGATCAGTATTGGGACCTGTGCTTTCAAACTAGTTCACAAATGACCTGGAGTTAGGGGTGAGCAGTGAAGCAGTTAAGTTTGCCAAGGATATTAGATTGCTCAGGGTGGATGAAAAGTAGATAAAGTCCCTACCAGAGAGTAATGGCAAATCAAGCTGTTGGAGTACGCCGGAATGGCAAAACGGACTGGAAAACTCAGGAACCAAGAAGACAAAAACTTCAATAAAGAATGGGAAAAATTTGTAATTTATTTAAGAGACCACTGTAAGCAGATCGAAACATTAGCAGGATTTTAATAACACTTGTAATGTGGCAATTATCATGGACAATATGGAGAGATATAAAACATGGATTATGGAATAGTATGCAGTTGAAAAGGTTGAAAGAAGGAGCCATGGAAGGGGTGGTGGGAAGTCTGGAGATTCAGAGAAATCTCTATATATGGATATGTATTTGGTATTGTTATAATTCTATACTTGTAAAATCAAATGAAAATTATTCCCCCCCCCAAAAAAAAAGATTGCTCAGGCTGGTCAAAACAAAAAGGGATTGTGGAATTTTAATGTCACATATACACTCATGGTGTCTGACCAAGAATGAGATTTTAAGGGATTGAAAATACAGCTGCTGCCATCACAATGGCTTTATACAAATTTACAGTGCCACCATAATTAAAGCACTGTGTACAGTTCTGGTCACCTCACCAGAAAAATAACATTTTAGAGTTCTGAGAAAATCAGAATCAGGCAGCCAGAATAATCAAGGGGATGGAGCAATTCCCCCATGAGGAAAGGTTGCACCATTTGACGTTTTTAATTTGCGTGTCGAGGTCCCCAAGCCACCCCCCAAATAACTCACAACGCACACTTAATTTTTGTTTAAGGTTTTTGGCATAATTTTGGCCACAACTTTATTTAAATACAAAACCGTGAGTGGTTGTTTAGGCATTGGTTAAGACTATCTGTACCCCCGCCTGGGGACAGAACTGACTTCCGGGCACCACCGAAAGACAGTGCGGGGAAAGCAAGTCGGAGAGAAATGGAGCTGGGTCACAGACCCTCAATTCTCATCCGCATGCTCCCCGAAGGCTTGCCGGCCCTAGTCCCATTCCAGGGATTGGACGAAAAGATGGCAAGCCCCAGGATTCCTTTAACGGAATTCCCTTTCCGCAGCAACCATGGAGGGGCAGGCCCAGCCTATCCTAACCCCTCCTCCACCAATTTATAACCAATGCCTAACTGCAACCTTACAAGTTGTGACAATTTGCTACGCAGTAGGCAAAAACCAAATGGCCCAGCCAATCAGCCAGATGGACAAAATTCCTACCAGGCCCCTGCTCAAAGGCAGACGACCCCATGACAGGCATAGCAAGGTCAATGCAACAACCCCTTACTCAAGGGCGGGTGGGCGGGTGATCCGTTGCACGCAGCAAAGAGAAAGCTCCAGGCTGCGTGCAGAGTATTTAAACATTTTACCCTCCCACCAAAATTGCAACATAACTTTTACCCCAGCAACCCAGTGAACCAATCACTGCCCCAGGCCATCTTTAGAGACCCTGCCTGGTAACAGAGGGGTGGCTCAGCAGACCCCACCACAACACGTGCTCTCCATGAAGGAGAACACGCTTTGCAGAAAAGGAGAGTAAAAAGTACATAAAATTATTCATGGTGCTCAGAAAGTGGATAGAGAGAACTCACTAAACACTAAAACTCAGGGGCATCCATTAATCTTGGAATGAAGTACTTCTGGACACAGCACTATGGCATTCAATACCCAAAAGAGTGGTGATCACAAGCAATGTAGTTTGCTTTAAATAAGGATTAGACAAATTCATAGAGGAGAAGGATATCAGTGGGTTCTAGACATGATGGTTGTGTTCTAGTTCTATTGTTAGTATTGTTTCTGAATACCTGGAAACTGCAGGATGGGGGAATGATGTTGCATTCAGGTCCTGCTTGCAAGATTGCAATAGGCATTTGGTTGGTCACTGTGAGAACTGAACACTGGACAATATGGGCCATTGGCCTGATCAAGAAGACTCTTCTTATGCTCTCAATGGGGCCAAATACCCTAAATTCATTAATAACCCACTATTTTACCCATTGAAATAAATTGATTTAACTTACTTTAGTCAATTCCTTTCAATTCCTAGTATGACCAACATTGGACATTGTCCTAAATCTCTTATTGCCCTCCCCAACTCCCCAACCCAATCCAAGCTTTGCAAAGTAGAAGCAGCTGTCATTATGGGGGAAATGGATATTAGATATCTGGTCAAAGAAAATCCACACCAAAAATCAAACAGCTTCTGAGATGGGTGTTCCCGGAA